GAAATTAAGTGCAGTGAGGCTGATAACTCCACACAAGTCAGGAGTTCAAATAAAAATAGAAGAGACAATCTATAAAGCAATAAATTACGAACGGGCAGGGCGTCAAGCTGGAATTGCTGCAACTGGGAGGTGGCAAGCACACAGCATTGGCAAACAGGGCCACTGAAAAAAAAACAGTGGAAATGGATAAGGAGATGGGCAAAGATTGTAGAATGTAAAAGGAGAAGCTGGAGGAGGGAGGGACGAACATGAAGATGGATTTGAAATAAATGGGTAGGGACAGTGCTTGTTAAGCTAACTAGATTTATTTCTCTGACCAGAAATTGTTATGTCCTTACAAGACAGCATCGAAGCAAGGTCTTTAATTTTACTTTTCCCGGGTTTATTGCTCGGGCCTTAATGTTATTTAACAGCACTGAGCATCAACCAGTTTCATTGCGAAGCTGGACTTAATTCAAAATCATTAAATCTGGTGGAAGCTTTTTCCCTCTTGACAAAGACATCCTGAAGAAGCTGGAGCTTCTCTGACGAAACATGGAAGTCGTGCCCCCTAGGAGAACAGACATCCCCAAAATACTGATGGATAGAGCAGTGATGGGGAGACAGCATTCCCCCCCATCCCTCCTCCCAAAGAAAAGAAGATGAGAAAGCAGGAACAAAAGCAGCTGGACACCAGGATGCTGAGCACTGCTCGGACACCCCAGCACAGCACTGCGCAGGGAGGCTGCAGTGCCCATCGCTCTGGGCTCTCCTTTTAGGCTTATCTTGAAAAGCAGATACATGATTTATGCCTCTCTCTGCTTTGCCAGGGTGGGGCAAGCTCTAAACAAGCTGCAGAGCTGGGTAACATGAATGATGGTGATTGGGATGTCCATGGTGCACGTCGTCAAGGGGTTTAACCTCATGAGAAACCCTGGCGCGAGCCATCTCTAGGAAACTCTTGAGTGCTGCTACAAGACGATGCTTGAGTTACTACCTCTGGTGAGTTTACTCCCAAGTCTTTACCAAGTCCTGTAACATTTGTGTTATCACTCAGGGCCAAAAGAGGGAACAGCGAGATCCCAGTAGTGCTGGGCTTGCTGGGACATGCGCCAAACACAGCCTCAGGCCATCAGTTGGAAATCCCGTCCCCGGCTACTCCGTTTAAACAGGGCACAAGTGACTTTCCTCCTGGCTCCCCAACTTTGGCCACGCTGAAAACCTCACTTTTTGCACTTTCTGCCCTCTCCCCATGAAATACAAACTGCTTCTCTTTGCCTTGAAGGCCCCACAGCTTGGCTTCTCTCTGTCCTCACCTCTAATTCACCCCTAAGTGCATGGGGAGCATTTGGGATACAGCTTCAAGAATGCATTCAACAAATTACTATTCCCCTTCTAAACGGATTACAAAAGTCTTTTTATTACAAAATATTAAAATGTTCAAATTACTGGTGTGGAAAAACATTTCCTGGAGGTAAAATTTTTTTAAAATTGAGGTTTTAATCACAAGCATAATCCTTTCTGGCTAACATTTCCAGTTTTTTGAAACATCTAGATACAAATTGCGCAGAGGCCTGGCTGTGTTGTGAACAAAGGAAGATGCTGCCTGTAAATAGCTTAGAGGACATCAGAAGACACTTTTCTCATCAGCAGTCTTTTTTAGCTTAATATAGCTCCTCTTTGCATAAAACATTGACATTTTTGCAAAGTTTGGACCCAATGGTGCGAATGCTGATTGTCATCCGAAGATACTAGAGTGTACCTTCAAAAATATGCAAGAACCTTTTACAGACAGTAGTTTTACTTGCCTCCAAAATGCTGTATCTTAATATTTCATACTTATATATATTTAAATGTTAGCACCACCAGATAAATGCTAACATGCTTTTATGCTAATGCAATCACGGAAAATCCAGATAATGTTGTGTATTGGCATATACTGTTAGTGAATTATGGATACCTAAATGTACAATCCCACATGCCTAGCAATTATTTTTGTTAGTGCATTTAACTTTTATTTGCAATCAGAGCACTTGAGGATTGTTCAAATGAAGTTTACTTTTGCAAACGGCTGAATGGAAAACATTTTGTTAAAGGTTTAAAAACAGTAAGACTGTGATGAGGTTTTAGAGTTGCAATAAGGGCACCACTCAGAAAACGCTACCAGATGGAACGATGTTTGATTTGGTCACAGACTCAGCGATTAAAACCCAAATGCCTAAAATGAAGGACATACAAGACATGAAAATCTTGATTTTTTTCCACATCGAGTCACCATCTTCCATGGCAGAGGCTCACAGATAGCGGCAGACAGATGGTGGGAGGACAGCGTGTGAGCAGGCAGCACCCATGCAGGTAGGCCCTGGGACCTTTTGCCCTGAGGACCAAATTCTGCTGTGCTAAGGCTGCTTTTCAAGTCCAGTTTAAGGCAAATAAATAGGAACGGTATCAAGAGGGAGAAATCCTGAGCTGCCCCTGCTGTGCCTTCTCCTCCTCCTCTTTCTCCTCCTGCTGCCCTTGCTGATCCAACGGCTTGGCCAGCCACCTGGTCCACTGGCTCAAGATGCTGATCCAACTGAAAACCCTTTTATCCCAAATCAGTTTCCAGCACAGCCAGACCTCTGAGCCAGGTCTCAGCCAGACTGCGTGAAGGCAAAACCTAGGTGATGCAGCTGGTTGCTCCATCCCTTACCTGCTTCACTACTTGATCAGAGTTAAGGACAACACAAATCTAGAAAAGACCTGGATATTTTTAAGTGTCTAAAAGTTCTGGATATGACCCAAGCACATCTAAGACTGCTCAGTGTCCAGTGGTTTTCTCCTGCATAAAACAACTTGCCTACAGACAACGCCAAACTTCCTCTTCCAGATTCAGCTACGCCAGGACTTAGTGACCTCCCAGGCTGAGCTGAGGAGCTGCTATGATCATGCCCTGATTTTCCTCTGGGAAGATCTGCCTGGCTTGAAAACACTGGCCTGAACCAACCGACCTGGGATGTGGCCACAGACTCATTTGGTGAGCTGCAGGCCATCGCCTCTTGCCCAGGAACAGCTCAGCATCCAGCGTGGGATCTGATACCCGCCCCAGGCACACGAGCGCAGATCAGATCATGCCCCCACCGCCCAGTGAGCTGTGGCACCTCTGGGCATTTACTGGAAAGTCCTGCCACCTAACCGAGGCCCCTAGGAACAACCATGAGAGAAGGAAATAAACAACCCCTCAGAAAAAACAAAAGACATCAGAAAATGCTTAGTGTCAAGTACTTGAAATGCCCGCAGCAGTTTAAACGGAGCATGGAATAAGCTGAGAAAATGTATGAACAAACAAATTAAGCAGATAGCACAAAGCAGATGAGTTAGCATGTAGGTGTCTACTGAGAAAGCTTAAGCACAGCAAGGGGAAAAAAAGCAAACCCAAAAACCAGGCATAATATTCCTCACATTTTGGAACTGAGCTCTCAGACAATACATCATCCCAACCACTCAAAATTACCGTCAGTCAGAATGTCCTTTAAAGAAAAAGGGTCTAAAAGTTTCCAAAGCAGCATTTTAATATTGTCATATTAGAAAAGATATTGTTTCTGTCTGACATTAATTGCAAAAGGCATTTTCAATTAATTGTGGAATACTATATAAAACCATTAGTTTCATGGCTACTGATACATGCTCGTATCACGAGACAATTAATTTCTTGAGTCTTGATCATGTCACGTTAGCTAAATCAGGAAAGAAGTGATTTAACAGCCCTTGTCATTTCACAAGTTACCTGCAAATGTTTCCAGAGCCTCTACATGATTTTCTCTTTATGAGACATATCATTAAGAGTCTATGTGATAGTAAAGAACCTAAGAAAACAATTACAGTATTGCTTCAAACATTATGATATGCCAGAATATGAAGAGCGGGTCTGTGTTTACCGATGCGAAAGAGTATGTCTTCTTGTGATCAGTAAGTCAAACACTGTTTCAAAATATAAGCTGGATCCTTTCCTGGTGTAAATCTGGGTACCTGCTGCTGTCCATGAGGTCATGTTACTTCACACATGCTGAGAATGAAGTCCATCGTATACAAGATTGCAGAAGAAATGCAGATTTGCAGACCACATATTAGACTAAGTGATAAATAATTTATAAGGGTGGAGAAGGTGACTGTATTTTTAGGCATAGAAACATGCAGATATAGCTGTCCTGACTTTCAACCTCCACTCTGCACTTCTGACCTTGAAGTTAGGGTCCATCCAACCCATTTCTGAAGCCTCTGCACCTCTGAATGCGCAACACACACACCCCACAAAGCCCCAAACCCCATAAAATCAAAAGACTACCAATAAAACCCATTGAGCCCACAGGCAGCACTACATGCTACAACCTAGCACAAGGCCAGCTGGGCTTCTTCGGGCAACAGCCACCTTCCAATGAACCACAAACATCCTTCAGACCAGTCTCTTCTTGATTCAGCCTGCTGACCCCATTCCCAACCCCGTGCCTAATCAACACCCCTTTTGTGCCAGAGGCATGTGTCCGTGGGGCTAAAAACCCCCCTCCAAAGACTGGAGGAGTTGCTATATTTCTGAAATCAGCATTTCTCAATCCTAAAGTGGCCTAGAGAAAGGATTAAGGAGAAAGGTGCCTCTTAGGGCACTTGTAACCACACCAGCCTCCAGACCTTCCCCCAGGGAGGGCTGCCAAGGGGAGAGGAGGGGAGGCAAAATCATTCCCCTCAGACTTTGTAAAAACAAGGAGCCCAGGGAAACCAAGAAACAATCATAGCATCCACATCAAATTACTTCGGGCTAAGTCTAACGAGCAGGATGAGGATGTGCTGAGAAGACCAGGGTAAGTGGTGCTGCAAGGAAAGGGCTAGGCAGGGGAGAAGACAGTTTGGTGTGTCGCAGGGCGAGAGAGGCTTTCAGCTCCTGCTATTAGAAATAAATCCAGAGAGGTGAAGAGAAACACAGAGCCCGTCTGGCCTCCCGAGGTTTTCACCCTCCCAGGCTGGGTGGGAGACAGGAGACAGTTCACCTGGAGAGAGCGGCTCCCAGGACGAAGGCAGCGTGCTCCTTCAGCGCGGCCTCGGTGCTGTTCAGCCCGCCGATCACGAGCTGCAGGCCGCCCATGGAGAGGAAGTCCTTGGCGTTGTCCACCTGGGAGAGAGCAGGTCCCCATCAGTACAAAACCCCCCGCCAGATTCCCCTCCGCAACTCTCTGAGGACGCCTTGCTTCGGGAGGCACAGCATCTCCTGCCCCCTGCTCTGGTGCTGAGTTCTTAAAGCAATTAAAAATTAAGAGAGAACACCTGTGGCTCGAATTTCATACAATGCTGCCTGCAAGCAGTGGATGTCATGGTTGTAGAAGCACGGTGTACTGACAGGTGGCTATTATTACATGCAGAAGGCATCGCTGAAAACTCAAATACTTTGATTAGCTATCAAAACTATTCTTGACACATATTTCAGTAATTCAGGTGATGTCAAAAATTTGGTAAATCCAAAGCTGTCAAAAAACCCCAGTTCTTTGCTCTCTCACCTGAGCAGGCATTTACTGGCAACCCAGGGAACTGTATGTTTTGTCAATGCAATTAATTAATTGATGCTCTAACTGTAGCACCAGGAGTTGGGAATGTCTAAGAGTCTGTCAGCAGCAATGGTACACGGGCAGCATCACCTCTGCTTGCAGCGAGGCGCACGGGCGGATCTGGGTGGTTTTCAGGAGTACCATTAATAATTTCATGCTGACGTGAAAAGAAAAAGCCAGTCCCTGCTTGGAAGGGTCAGCCCGGAGCTTCCCCTCGGGGCAGCCTGAGCAATGATTTTTCTAAAGCAGACAATATTGGACTGACTGCCAGTAGGGAAACATTTAAATATTAGCGGGGATTCATCCATCTTTGACTTTAACCAGACTTGGGGCTAACCAGGCACAAATCACAGTGGGCATCTGTTCTTGGAGATTAGAAAAGGGCTCTGAGTGGCTCCCAAACAAAATTTAGAGAAACAGTGCAAAGGGCTTCAAGTACAAACTTCAGTCTAGAGTCAACTCAACGCATTCTGGATTTCAATGCTTTTTTTTTTTTTTTTTTTTGCAGTTTAAAGGGGAATCTGACAAACCCTTAGACTTGCATGTGCCAAAAATTCAGTTTTAGAATTTCAACATTTCTCCTCCCTGCAAGACAGAGAGACAACAGCATATGTTGATAGATGGAAATAGAACCTGAAAAAGGAGTTATCAGCTGAGCAAACCGACCTGCCCGGCTCCCGTGAGCAGCCTGCACCGATGGGGTGGGACGGGACAGACACCGCAAGGTGTGCAGGGTGTGCCAGGCTCCGGCACCACGCTCCAGCCTGAATGCTCTTTTAGTTGACAGTGACTTCATGTTCAGTGTTATTTTTACCTCAGCCGTGTACCTTCACCAAAACTGGCTGCAAGTCTGATATTTTAGGTACCCAAGAGAATGAAGAAGCTACTCGGCTTTATGTCCTATGGGTATGTCTTTACCAAAGCGGGACCTGGGGAGCTACAGCTCGTCTCTTCTCCCCAGTGGGACAATACCCACCACTTGCTGTCCCTCTGCAAAGCCTGCGACAGAAAGCTGATCTCTGCAGGTCTGCTGGGGCTGATTCAGGATTTGCAGCAGCTTTTGTATCCTTTCAGATCCTGTGCTTTTAACTGTCCCTATAAACTGGACCTGCCACACCTCTTACTTTTCTGCAGGCCCACCTTTTGTCTACAAAGAAATCTATGCAGCAACCCAATTTCAGCTACCGGTGGGTGCTTTTATTGCTCAGCCTCTGTAAAAACTCCAAGGCTCTTTTAACGCTGGAATTGGACGTTGACTTCTGCTCAAGAAGGAATGCATAGACAGGCAGAAGTTTGCACCCAGCATCAGTCATGGTAAAACCAACCATCACTGTAACCTCATCAGCACTGGAGTCCTTCAGGCCAGCCCCAGCATCAACGAGACACCTCAACTGCAGAATATAAATTGCGCTGTAAAGCCTATTTTGAAGAATTTTCTTTTTTTTTTTTTTTTTTTTTTTTCTTAACTGGAGTCTGTTGTGAGAGCTCATTCCCTCACTCACCATTTTAAAACCAACAAAAGCCCCAAACTCAACAACTTGAAGGTATTAACCTCTCTGGGGAGTGGTGGATGCTGTGAGGCAGCAGCTCATGCCTCGCTTCAGTCCACTGAAATTGGCACAGAAGAAAGCCAAAGATCAAAAGAGCTCTTGAGTAAAGTACACAGGCAAGGTGGGCGAGGAGAGGGATGGGAGAAGAGCAAATATGACAGCAGTTATTCAGGGAGCTGCTTTGAATCAGAGGAGAAAGAAAAAGGGGAGGGAAGGCGAGAGAGAAAATGTTAGAAAACGAGAGCAAGGAAAAGCAGCATGTCAACCGTACGCAACGGAGAGGAAATTAGCAGTGAGAAATGGTGTAGCATGTCAGAGGAGGGGAGAGGGAAAGATAAGGAGAGTAAATAATTGAGAGAAAGAGCCTGCAATGCATGAGAACGGGTCTTGGCTCCGCACACTGCTGTGCAAGCACCGTGAATTCTGTTTATAAATGAGTTATGCTCTGGCCTCTTCACATTTGCATTTGGTTTTTATGCGTTACAGATAACCTAGCAAGCCAAACCTCTCTGCTCTTTCTCCAAGATGGGCTTCTAAACATGCCAAGTCGAATCCTGACTGATGAGAAGCAAACCAGAGCTGGCAACCAAAAGCTGAGCAAGCGCAGAGCCCTTGGGCTGACTCTTCAAGAGCAGGAGGGAGCATCTCTCCCCCAGCTCGGCACCAGCCACGGCTTCCCCTCCGCTCCCTCGCGGCGAGCTCGGAGGCACATGCTGCTTCACATCCCAGTGCTCCGGGATGCTCATGACCATGCCGTGGACCAGAGAGCATCCTTTGCTTGCAAACCCTAAAGGGCATGGCATTTTCCACTCGGCAGGGCATTCTGTGCCCCGGAGGCAGCAGAGGGATGGCCAGGAGCTGAACGATTATCCAAAGCCCCGGCATGTTGCCATTCAGATGGAGGCTGGGGGAAGAGGGAGCAGCAGAGCCGTCACCGGTCCCACACGTGGGCACACGCTGCCCTGGGCCACCCACACCTGCAAAGATCCCCGCCCTCCAGCAGCACGGTTGTGGCTCGGCGCAGAGGATTCCTGACAAGTTCAGCTCTTCCAGGGGTATGCGGCACAAGCGTATTTGGCTGCTATTCAGTAATTACATTAAGCCAGGGCTGCTAAAGTCAGTACCAAGCAGAGATAATGCTTTGGACGCATTCAACTGGCTGGAAGAAGAAAGAGGAGGAAAAGCCATGCTGGCTTAGAGACAAGTCATATTTCTTATCAGCTTCCTGCCTGATGAGAAGGTGCTGCCCAGCCATCTGCCCCGACAGCGCGGGCACAGAGCAACGTTGTGATCGATGCACAAAGGAGTCCTCTGTGCTCCCTGCCAGCCTCCCTGCCATTTCCCCCTTTCTGACCCCTTTGATGCTGGATGTGGTTCCCTTTGATGCTCCAAGTCCCCGCACAGGGAGCGGGGACCACTTCCCTGCTCCTCTCTCCTTTCTGAAATCGTTTGCCTCATCCTGTGCTGCAAGCAGGTGGGATTTTATGCTGGAACAGTCCAGACTGTTATCCTGGAATCCAAAGCACCCCAGAGTGTTTGGGGGTTGCTTTTTAGCATGCTGGCCTGATGCTCTGGCACCCTTAACCAGACAGAATTAGCCCTGAGTATAAATATGAAGCTCTTTGGGTGCCCATTGTTCACACTTATTCTCTGAGTCAGACAGATGCTGTCAGTGAAACAAAAGCATTGAGAACAAACAGCAAGGAAGCCTCTGCATGCGTATGACAGAGATTTAGTGTGGAAATTCAAGACAAAGAGCCCTGGAAATAACACTTCTATTAGCTGATGCATGGACTCCCTTTCTCAGCGGCACATTCCTTCAGCTACCTTCCCCCAAAATCCCACGTTTGGTTTTAAGAAGTGCCGTTGCAGTGAAAGGTCTTACACTGGTGTCTCCCAAGAGTTGTCCCATTCACCCTCTGAAATTATAAAGTGACTGAGAGCACCACTGGAAGCTCTCCCAGTCTGCTTCAGACCCTCCCCAGTTGCTGGGGAGGAAGAAGCCCAGTCCTTTCCCCCGAGGCAGAACACAGCCGTGATGCCCACCCACCCACTGCGGCGTGGGAAGGCACCCAAGCACAAGGGAAGGGAGTGGCGTGCCCACAGCCTGCACCCAACGGGAGGTAAAAATGTGTGAGCTGAGAGCATAGCGAGAGAGATCAGAGGGAGAGGGGAAAAAAGTGTGAGCATACACCCGAGGAAGCGAGATTTCAGGAAATATATTCAACCACACCCAGAGCCGATTAGCACGGCTCAGCTGATGCTCAGCAACTTGCCATTCGCCTCAGCCTTCAGTCGCCACCAGCCCGGCTGTGAGAGGGGCTCTACATGCCACTTCTTACTCAGGCCAAGGGAAGATACAGGCTGTTGGGCGGCTGTCGTCTTCCCTGGTACAAAGACAATCTCTGCAAACTGATGTAAGGGCACCTACCTGCAATCACGGAGGCTTTCCACAGAAGGAGTGAGAAAATAATTATTTTCTTAGCAACGACTACTTTACGTACCCAAAACCGATAGATAAAACCCCATTTTGTAACATTAGGCATATAAAAAGAGGAAAGGGAGAGTGCAAGAATAAAAGTCTGAGAACAGACAACGAATCAGGCAACACTAACCCCTAGGAAACGGCTCGCTACTGGCACGAGCGATGATTTATTCAAACCTGGATATAAAATAAGCCTGCAGTAGCCCTCTGCTGTCTGTTATTGTCCCAGGATTATGATAATTGAGCAATTTGTATTACCTGATACCGATAAGAAAAATAAAACCCCATTTATGACACTGTATCCCCTGGATCTTACATGGTAGCTACTAATGCATTTTTGTTACCTGGTGAACATAATATTCAAGATCATAAAGCGCCGCTACTTTTTCATCCAACGTGGAGGCAGAGCTGTTGAATTTGCCGATTAACTTAACCATAATTTCATAATCTGTTTCCATCTTCACGTTCAGCTTTTCAAACTCCTCCTTCAGCTGATCTATGGGCCGGAACTTCTTCCTCACCTCTTCCTCGTGGGCCTTGAAAGAAGGAGGAAACCAGATATGAAGGCAGGTGATAAAGAGAGTCAAGAAAGACGTAGAAAGAAACCCCAGCCCCAGATTTACAGGGAGAACCTGGCTATCTATGCAAATGGATTTACTGCTGTGCAGCAGAGATGCGGAGGCAGCATTGGAGGGTCCTTCCAAGAAGCCCAGGAACCCACTTATCTGTAAGATACCCGCCTTGGGTACCAGCAAGCACTTCCCAAGCCTGTGCCTAGGGCTTTGCACACCATTTCTGCGTCCTACATGCCTTCCAAAACGACGTCAAGCCCAGAGGCAGGCAGCACTGCTGTTCTCCATTTGCCTGCAAGCAGACGTTCTCAAGACCTGACTGCAAAAAAGCCCTGAGCAACCTGTGTGATCTCACAGCTGCTGCTGCTTGGAGCTGGAGCTGGAGACCTCTGGAGGTCTCACCCAGCCAAACTGCCCAGCGACCCCGTGCCCGTACAAAGACACTTTCATCATCCCAATCGCTTAACACATTTCAGGGAGGCTTTATCTCTCAGGGAAATGTATGCACTCACTGTCAGGGACAGAAGTTGTCATAAAGCAAGGCAGGAGGGCCAGCTAGAAGATGGAGGCAGCTGATGTGCTGTGCCATGGGGCTTGGCCATGAGATATCCTGAACTGTAGCACGGCTGGTCCTCCTCGTACAAACAGCACCCCAAGGGCTGGGGTGAACTGGGAGCTGCAGAAAGGCATGGGGTGAGAAGGAAAAGGAGCTGCAGAAAGGCATGGGGTGAGAAGGAAAAGGAGCTGCAGAAAGGCATGGGGTGAGAAGGAAAAGGAGCTGCAGAAAGGCATGGGGTGAGAAGGAAAAGGCTCTGCCAGAGATCTGAGAGAGCCCCCAGAGCCAGAAGGGACCAATTGTCCCGCATCAGCACTGGTGGCACTGGGACAGGTGAGGACAGAGCCTGCTGCTGCAGGGGACAGAGGAAGCAGAGAGGCCAGACTGAAGATGGGCTGTCCCAAGAGCAGGAGAAAGCAACAAAGCCCCTTTTGAAAGGGATTCTGTCATGAACACAAATACCACAATATGTTTTTATACAGGAGTGACCCCCCCAACTGGAGCACGTGCACGTGCCGTGCTCCCCCCAGCAAGCACAGCCCTGCTCCCCCAGGCATGAACAGAAGCCAAGGGCTCGAGCCACTGGAGAAAAGAGCAATGGAAGTAAAAGCACTGTCAATCTCATGGCAGCCGTACAATCGGCGCTAATGACTACTGGCCTAATTACTATAGGTACCACGCGGCAACACCGAACGCCACCCCCACCCCAAGTGCAGAGAACTGCTTTTGCAAGAGTGTAGATGGGAACGCACTTGGTGTAACTCAATTTACTTCGACACGGTTACTTCAAGGATGAATTTTCTCCCTGCAGGAGTGATTTTAAACGGAGTACTTTAGGTCCATTAGATGTAGCTGGTTTTAGCCCAGTTACGGGGACGATAGCCATTCTAACAGGGCTTTTTAAAATATGGCTTATTTTCACATAATAGAGTATCACTAATTTTTGCATTTAAATGACACTCATTTCAAGAAGTCCTGCTATCAGTAATGCTGTCTGCTACGTAGATAATCATACAGAAAAATGAAATAATGCCCTGGCGCCAGATAGAGGGGAAAAAAGACTTTCTGCGACTCCCAAGACTTTAGAGCCTTGACTCCTACCTCAGTTTTCCTTCGACTGAGACAACGTGAAGGCGACAGGACAAGCTAGGGCATAAGGAAATACTGCAGACAGGAAGAGGTGAAAAAGGCTGTGATCCACCTGAGGAGTAACATATCATCCCACCAGTGTCACGCCAGTGGCTGGGGCCAGCTCCAAGCCTGGACAGGGCTGAAAGCAGCCCTTATATTCTATTTTACTTTGGGTTGTGGACTATTTATAACTAAATGGCCAACTTAGAGCTTATATAAGGAAACTTCAGCCTACGCTTCACCACAGCCATTCAGTTTTTACTACCCAAGTCCTGAGATTGTAAACTTAAACCATGAGATCACTTCTGGATCCAGCTGTGCCAGTGGCAGGGGATGGCTTGTCATCATCCCTGAACCCAGAACAGAAGCGCCTCAGCTGCACACCACTTTTGGTACTTCCTCATGCTTAGAAGGATAGCGAACAGCAAAGGAATTTCCTTTACAAGTATCATCACGCTGCAACCCACTCCACTTCGAGGGTCTGCAGACATCTTTGTGAACCAAACGGCAATTGAACAAACAAATCAGAGCAAGGGATAAAAATACATCCAAACAATGGAAAGGAAATCAGCCCGTGGGTGCACAAAAGCATTTGCAAGTTCCTTTTCTGCATTATCAATTCAGGTCTAATCACACTGGTATCAGAAAACTTAGGGGAGCAGCATCACACCGGAGAGCTTACTAACCATACCGGCTTTGGGGGTCAGCAAAGATCCCATAGCCTGGGTACACCAAGAACAGCAGTAAGAAATTCAGTGTCTGGATGGCTCAGGAGGATGGTTATGTGGACACTGCATGTCTGGTTTGCTCGCTGAGATCCCACCCACACGAGTAAAGAGCAGAAAGTGGGAGCATCTGACGGCTGACCTGACACTGAACTGCGGGACCCAGCCCACTCCACTGCAGCCCGTGGGATAATTATTACCGAGAAACACCCTGAACTGTGAGAATATACTTAAGTACTTACAAGCAGCTTGTAACACAAGGCCTTTAAGTCTGAAATTAATGAAAGGGATCTGAACAAAATTTTTCCATTTTTATAGAAAACCCAGGATTAGTACAAAAATGGGTGAGAGTTTCTCGGGGAACTATACCGCTAACAGGCTAGCAAAGGTATTTTAGGTCCGTATTCACCAGAAGATTAGTCTGCACAGTATTTTCCCAAGCAATTACTTTAACCATCATTTTTCTGAGACGTGCAAAGAAAGGCGTTCGCACCTGTGCAGTGTGCACTGCTGCAGACACAAGGAGTTCCCCTTACCTTTCTTTCTGCCTTTTCACTCTCCTTCATTTTAGCCAATGCTTTTTTGAGCTCCTGGGATGAGAATGAATTTGAATCAACATCCACCTTGCCCAGCCTTGCAGAGGAAACAAAACAAAACATTTTATGAGTGAACAATTGTACCTGTAATATTTTCATTGTGATATACTAGCAATGGATAATGTCAGGACAAAAGGAGCTAAGAGCATGAGATTTCCACGCATCTCACTTAAAACACATAGAAAAACCCCACACTCGAGGAAATATTAGTTTGAGTGCTATGTTTTGTGTGTGGTTTGCAGATACCTCACCCTGACAATCAAAAAAGGCTCGGCAACCTGCACTGTGCCACTAGATCACTGCTAAGGACTTGCAAGCTTTAACAGGGGGATTTACAGCTGAAGTGCTGATGATGGTCATACACAGAGTTAGGGCAAGGGTAAGTCCAAGCAGAAATTACACGGAAATGCTTAAAACCATGTTGTGTTGCTCTTTTACATCGATCGCATTGTTTCAGGGAACTTATCTGGGCCATAAACTCTCTTGCACAGAGGAAAAGAAAAGCCAACCTTTCAGGCATCATGAAACTAAAGAGCTTCTCCATCCTCCAAACAGGAGTAACTGGGGGAGCAAGGAAAGCACTGGTAAATCCCACACACTTTAGAAAAGAAATTTCCCCATAGTAACTAAACCTGTCTTTGTTAGGAGGGTCCCAAGGGGAATGTCAGCGCCAGTGAAACCTTTAAAACAAATTTTAAAATGTGGTTGTAGGGGAAGCTGTGTGATCTACGGAGAATTTTGGCATCAACTGATGTGTAAATGAATACTGGGAGCCTGCTGACTGCACCCAGCTAAAAACAATGCTACCTGGCTCAGGTCAACACAAACAAAACCCCTCAACAACTGCTCTGATGGTTCAAGTTCACAAAGCAGTTTCAGACCAATTGCTGCAGACATTCCAAAGGAATAAATGTCATTCAAAGAAGCCACATTGCCAATTCGGTCTCAGTGCCATGGCATGAGAAGTCACGAAGGTGTCTCTCAATATATACTCAGGGCACTTCTGCCGCTGTCCCAAAGCGATCACAAATGACAGGGCTCAGTTTTCAGCACTGCTGAATTCCTAAACAAGCAATTAAGTCTCGGGAAGAGACAGCAACGGAGTGCACCAGGGAACCCAACCTTTAATAAAAGACATGAAACCCGCAGCCCACCCACCGCCGATGCTTTGCATCACTGTACCTTTTCCTCCTCGCTTCTCTCGTGTCCCTTTTTCCATTTTCACTGTCTGGGAGCTTCACTTCTCTGTCTCCCGTCTGCAGATTTAATCGTACGTGCGACCCTGCAGGAACAGCTTGGCCTACAAACAAAGGTCAGGTTATTTTAGGACACGTGCATTACTTCAGCTTTGTCCACGACGGGCGAGCTGAAGGCGCACGCTGCTACCAGAGAGGTAAAAGCCTTGTCCCGCTTGGCGAACAGGAGTGGGCAATCCGCCGCCGACCACTCACCCCCCCAGCAATGCCCCCTCGACCCAAGTGCCACTTTAACCTCGCAGAGGTGTCCCCACCCTGACCCAACGAACGCGCCCCCATGCAGCCCAGAGGAGCGCTAGCTGCCTTCTCCCCCCTGGGCCAGTTCCTGAGAGCACTAAACTCCACATCAGGAGCGGGTTTGGAGGAAGGGGAATTGGCTGCTGATTAGGGTAGAGAGCATAAAATACAGCTGCCAAAGTGAAATCAAAGCATACCACAGAGTATGGCCAGGTATGCTGAATATCAAGTGTACAGAGGCAAGGCTGTGCTGGTTTGGAAATACTGTATTAAAAGGAATACATGATCACTGCTATCCACCAACAAAAGCACTAGGAATACATTAAGCTTTGGTTTTAAATGCAGAAAAGATGGGAAAGCCACACTTTTTTCTTGGTCACAGTTCACCACAAACACATGACGATGGCCAGCTGCCGCACTGGGATGGAGGTATGGCAATATCTGGTTGCTTATTAATGCTGCTTCGTCTTGTTTTAACGGAAGAAATCTGCCTGCTTTAGGAGAGGGGGGTCGCAGCTGAGCGAATACGGAGATCTTAGCTGCACACAGAAGGACAGGCAGACACACAGCTGCTCGTGCCCCTCCCTCTCGATGAAATTTCCCTATTCAGCCTTTCCTTTATGATTCCTTTTACCTAAAAAGATGCCTAGAATAAAATAACACAGCATGCAGGAGACAGGTAGCATCTCCTACTGAAGGGAAGGGAAGACAAGGATAATTATTTCAAACAATAAATACATGTACTCAAAGACAAAATGCTCTAGTCTAGGGAACGACCAGATTGATCCCTCCCTCTTCAAGACCAAAGAGATATTTCACTGATCAAAGGACCTGGCGCTTCCTACATAAGACTGGAATGTTTGTCACAATTCAGACAAAAATATTGCAAAGCCTAAAGCTATTCAGCAGGTATAAATGCATTTAGAAAAAAAAAACCAGGAAAATCCATTTTGGAGGATTTCCTATTAAAACAGGGTGCATTTCTGATAGCTCTTCTTTCTATCCACCATATTCTGTCCATAGGAAGTTGCGTTGGTTGGGTATGAGAGGGGACTGACGGGATTATCTTCCCATCTTAAACTACGCAAGGACAGGCTAGATGTGCCTCCTCCACACCCGGCACGCTTTCCACCAATGGACCCAAACCTCCTCCTGCTCCTTTAGTTGTGGTATGTGGGAGTGTCTAGGTACGCCTACCTAGGGGAACATCTTCCCACTCTGAAAAAGTGAGGTTTGCCCGACTTCGCTGCAATAGCTGAGCCGTCTCCCTCGCGGGCGATGCAGGCAACACAGCCGGGACGTGCTGGTCAAAAAAGAGTTTGTAGGATCTCCACGAAAAGGACAACACTGCTTGTCCCCCTCCCTGTTTCAGGAGACACAGAAACAGGGGTCCGCCAGCAAGGGGAAAAAAAAAAAAATACATATATAAAATGACACTGCATGCTGAACATACAGATGCATGAGGACGTATTCCTCCTCCACAGGCACAAACACCACTGAGGGGAGGAAGCGAGGGGTGAGCTGGATCCTTCCTCTCCCAAAGCCAGTGGCTTTCCTCGCCAGGTCACAGGCACTGGGGCAGCCCAGGTTACAACCGCAGCACTGGCTAAAGCAACTCCTGAGTTGTCAGACGTAGCCATAAATAAATATCCCTGTTAGTGCAGTATATTCTGGCTGTCGTGCTCCCGCTGCATGTGGCCACATTAGTTCACTCGGTTGCCAGGGGAGAGGAGTGAGGTTGATGGGCTTTGCTTAAAAGAAACATCAAAAAGGAAAGCACGGGAGCCGCCTCCAGAAGGGCTGAGTGACTCCCGTGTGACCGGCCCTCCCAGTTTCTATTTCCAGCAAATGGTAAATAAAAGAAAACGTGAACCCCAGCGTGCCTGAGCTCACAAACCCAGCGCAACTGAATAAGGAGGTTGCCATCAGAGAAGATACACACCTTTCCTGCTTCTGCTTCCTCGCACTTTCCTAAACGAGATTTGACCGAGACCATCCAAACCTCAGAGCAGAAATCTCAGCCTTGATGTATTTAAGCGGCTTTCGTTCCTACAGGGATTTCTTCTCACCACTGTGCACAGCAGCGCAGGTCCGTGCCACAGCAGGACAAACATACTGCTTCATTAAATAAACCAAGACAGACGCCTCTGTTTTCAGCAAAAAGATTGGTGTAGTCACTTAAAAATATTCAAGATGTTTGAGACAGTACGAGGTCCTCAGCCTTGTTTAGTTTGGGGTATTTTGAAGTATTATTCATAGAGTATGTTTGAGGGTGGGTTGACTTGAATAATGTGATTAAAATTGCTGATTTAAAAATGAGCGAGCTGGAAATCCTGAATTTCAATCATGCTTCAATACGTAGCTTCTAGACACTTCCCTTAAAAATAGTTGATTCTCTTTGATGCCTATAATTTGATACTATTCAACAACTGGGAGCACGCACCACAGCAATACATATGTAAGCAATTACACAGCTTCACGTGCTGTTAATACAGATTCATACTCTTAATAGCTTTTTTCCTAGAGGAATTGATTTTTTACTCGTTGTTTGTATTAAGTTGCATTTAGGAAATGAAACTCAATTATAAAATATAAAAACAAGTTTATATTTAAGCTGGTTTCTGACCTTTTTTCTCCCTGACACCTTAGGAAAAAAAATGTCTACCCAAACAGGTATGCATTGCATAATGTGTTACTGAATGAAGCTGAATGGTCTCACTTTCCAAAGATCTCCAAATCTGCTGCTAGATCTCATCCTGTCCTACTCCCTCTCTCCCTATAAAGGGAAAGAAGAGTTTCCATTCTAATTAATTTCCCACCTCCAAACTGACTACCCAGTGAGTAGAAATAGCCACAAAACCCCCTGCATGAACCTGCAGAAAAGGTTATAGCTGTCAAGAGGAGGAAGCTGGCACGCTCCTTCCCCCACAAGCGGTTTGTATTATTTACCACTTAAAAAATATCCCATACTTGGAATTTTTTAAAACACAACTAAAATGGTTTGAATACATGTTACTCTCCATCAACTTGGGTTGCTGGATTTCAGAGAAAGTCACAGGGTTTAAGTAGACTACCCGGTGTCCTCGACTGGGACGCGCCACCAGCCTGCCCCTCAATCACTCAGCCCTTTGCCTCACAGCCAAAAAGATAGTGTCAAATAGGTAAAATGCTTCCAGAGGATAAAAAACCCTTGCCACCGCACAAATGACAAGGTATTTATTGGGAATAAATGTCAAAGCAAAGCGACAGCGTTTATTTTCCAAGCAGGAGACACTGATCCTTTGGCAGTGTGCTGCTAGGACAGCGTTGTTCCAGGTCTGGATTTAATCCCTTTGTTGGCTGCAGAAGCATCAGGACAGGCTTTGCTCTCCCGCACGAGCCGGAGCACGACCGCTCTGGCTTCTCCAGAGAGCAGTGTAAACTGTCCCCGTGCCCGGGGGCTGCCACGCGCCCACGCACCCTAAAAACACCCGGTCTTTCGGAAGGTCCTCCCAGTGCATCAGCGTTCGTCTTATTTGGGTGTGTTCTGTCTGTCCTGAAAGTTGCTTAAAGTGACGCTGAGGAAGAACTTAATTTATAGCCCTATTCTTTTAATCTTGGTCAGCCAGATTTTTCCAGACATCCGTTTATTTCTTCTTATAATATATTAGATGGAGTAACAGCACCAGAGCCAGCTTCAAGGCAGCAACTCACTCGCAGGGGTTCTGCTGACATTTATAAACTGATGCTATTTCTCTCTTGTGTTTTATGTTATCAGCTATACCTGTCAACTTAAATTATTGCCTTGTAACCAAATCACAGTTATCTGTTACTCTGTTATGTGTATGTTTCTGAAGCTCTATACCTATATCAAGCCTCGCAGAGGTTGAAAATGAGACAATAAATAAATAAACAAATGGAAAACAGAACACACTTCCACCAGGTTCACAACTAAGGCAAAAATTAGGCGCGTTATGTCCAGGGTAACTAAAAGCAGAGGGCTGCTGCGCTGAATATGCACCACACTGTAATATCCAAGTAACCCCATTTCTCTTTTTCTAGACCAATGAAATGACCAACTGTGTTTCCTCACTAAATGAGAAGGGTCTTATCCTGCCCAGCTCCTTTCCAGCACATTGTTCCACTTAGTGCTGGCCACAAGTGGTTTTGCATTTCTGCATAGAGAGAAAGTCAAGCCCCAACTCACTATACAGCAACAGGCAGGCACTAAGAATAACCGGGTAAGTTTTACATCATACATAGACAGGCAAATCCCACACCAAGATCGTGCAATAACTCACTATGCTCCTGGCAGTGGTTTCTTCAGCCCCTACCCACCCATCAGACCCCCTGAGCTACCACCCACTGACCTGCCCAGCAGGGACACAAGACTCTTCCCCCTCCAGAAATATCTTCTGGCCCCACTTTGTCCCCTATGGCAGAGAAGTGCTCCCCTGGGAAGGCTTCTGCAAGGAGAAAAGGGTGATCCAGCTTGCAGAGGCAGATCCCCTGGTTTCTCCCCAGGTGAGCATCCTCATTTGACATTGCAAAAAAAAAAAAAAAAAAAAAAAAATCTATTAACAGTGTGAAAAAAACCCACAGTTATGAGTCAGTAACTGGCTCTGCAATTCTCAGAAATCACCCTAGTATCTGAGCAAGCGTCAGATAGCATCTACCTTTCTTTACTCTTTGTTTCTCTTAGTGCAGGGGAGTGAGGGGAAAGGGACGTGCTTTCTAATACAGGCAACAAAAGAATCCACGAATCAATATGAGAATGTTCCCAGCCAAACAAACCAGCAGTGCTGCGATATTAAAAATAATAAGGCTG